ACTTGAGATGCTCGCAGGAATGAGTCTGCTGTCTTTGCTGTCGCAATCGCGGCTTGCACCAGTGCTTGCCACCCAACCACTCCCTTGCAGCCAGTCCCCCAGTGTTTTCAGTACTGCCATTTCTATATGGAGACCACCAAACATCACCACTATATGGTCTTCACCATAACTCTCTGGCCACTTCCACTGTATCTTCTTGGCCAAAGCAAACAGTGGCTGATCCAATGTGACCACTAGTGCCTGTCCAGGATTCAGGTGTTCTATAGCTTTCTTCACAACGTCCATTGAATACCTGATCATTGCCACAGTGTGAGCACTTTCCAGGAAAAGTGGAAGCAGCGACGTGGGCAGATGACTCTACCCTCTGGTGGCTGTCGGCTGGCATGAAATGCAGCCCAAGATGTGTTTTTATTGTCCAATGTACCAGTGGGAGACTTCCCAGGGCGTGTTTTGCATTGCCTAACCAATGGTATTCTTCATCAGTCTACTGTTTGAAGTCTCCTTTGGTCAATGACGCAACTTCAGCAGCTGGGACAGGCGACGTCTTGATGCTATTAGTGACAGGGGGTACATCAGTATAATAGTGCGGCAAAGGGGCGACAGTCTTGGACCGTGCATCCCCAGATTCTCCAGCAACGAATATGCTCCGATTTACTCCTTCACCAGTGTAAGAAGGATATTGTACGAGGCAGATAGCGGCACCTTGGAAGGAGTCTTTTGATGTTGTTGCACTAGGATTGTGATCTATGTTATCTACAGCGGCAATTGTGAACTCTTCGCCACGCACTTTTGGAGGTCAGACCACTTGTTCTCTGTAAAATTGTTGGCAGACATGGTTGCCCATCTCTGCTGAGAGCTGGAGCACTCTACCATAAGAGATACTCAGGCTAAGGTGTGACAGTCTGTCGATCAATTCCTTTTTGTGTGTATGAGCATGCAACATCATCCCAATGTATGTTGGAAGTGGGGTCTCCTGTACAACATTGTGCCTGACACAGGTGGATGATGTGATGCCACGTGTTCGCTTGTGTTTGACACAGTTGAACTTCAGTATCTAGGCTGCGGTAATTGCTGCAGGTTAGTGTCTGTCATCTGGTCTTTGATGCTGGGTCTCTCTAGTGTCATGCTGACTAAGGCAAGCAGCAACGATTGCAACAGATTCTTCTTGGCATCCTCCATCGAACCCTGACGGCGACAAGATAACGACGAATGTAGATCGAGAAGCAGCCATGCAATGTAAAGTAGCCTTTTTGAAATCCAATATGGCGACCCATTAGTACAAATACACAATTCAGATTGCTACCATTGGCTTTCTTGACCCCAAAAACATACATTTAGACACCAAAATGAAGTCAATAGCAGTATTAGACCCAGAGATAATAAAAAGTGTAAATTTCAAATGGCGGCCATTTTAAAATCCAATATGGCGACCGTTTGGTAAAAATACGCAATGTAGATTGCTACCATTGGATTTCTTGACCCCAAAAACATACATTTAGACACCAAAATGAAGTCAGTAGCAGCATTTGACCCAGAGATAATCGCAAATGTAGATTTCAAATGGCGGCCATTTTGAAATCTAATATGGCGGCCATTAAGAGAGAAATCCGAGTGGCCCAATATCTGAAAATGATTTCAATATGTTAATGTACATTTATGCCAAGTTTGGTGCTTGTATCACAAAATGCACAATAGGTTTGCTAAGCGGCCCCACTATATTACTATTACTGGCCCAGCATATTTTTCATGACATCAGTGTTTTATCTTGTGACTAATATACTGTCTACCCCTGCAGATGGGGGGCCCCATAGTTTTACCATGGAGGAGCAAAGAATACACTTGCCGTGTATTTCGTAAGAGGTGACTAAAGGTGCATAGGTCTGGTCGCCCGAAAAGTGCCAGTTCACGGAGGACCAACTAACTGACCCAGTAAAAACTGAAAGTTATAGAAACGAGAACAAACACGCCTTATTATTTTTCCATCTTGGGAGACGGAGGAGCTTCTGCACCAGCAGGAACAATGAAGGACAGCAGACAAAGCCGAAAGGACTCTTCTGACCCAAAACCTTCTCTGTCGAACAAGTCTCTCCGCATTGCGTCATGGAATGTCCGCACCATGTAGGCCTACGAAGCAGGAAAGAGTTCTCAAGTGGCACAAGATACAGGCAGCACATACTACGAGTCAGCTAAACCGACAGGATACAGTCCGGACAGAAGCAGCTCAGCTCGGGGGGGGGGGGGGGGGGGCGGGGGACAAGTATTGTATTCTGGGAGGGGAGGGAAGACAAGCACCATGCGGAGGGAGTGGGAATCTTTTGAGTAGGCCTAAGTATGCACAGAAGTCACTTAGAGAAAGGGAACCACATGGGGAGAGGATCATCATGGCTTCATTCACTACAAAGAAAAAGAGCATCAACATGAACATAATTCATATCTACGCCTCAACAAATAAAGCTTCGGATGAAGACAAGGATGCTTTATACAGCTGGCTCCAGGGGGTCATCGACAAACTACCAAGGAAGGATGCCAACATTATAATGGGAGATGCCAATGCCAAGATTGGTAAGGACAACATAGGTTACGAGGGAATCATGGGACAACATGGCGTGGAACAAATGAAAGCGAATGTGAGCGATTATCAAATATCCGTGCATTCAACAGTTTTGTCATTGGAGGCTCTGTTTTTCCCCACAAGAGGATCCACAAGGTATCTACTTGGGTATCACCGAATGGAGTGACGGAGAACTAGATCGATCATTTTTGTGTCTCACGAAAAGGTTCAGGCGTTCTCTGGAATATGTCACAGTACAGAGAGGGGCAGATGTTGGATCGGATCATCACCTGCTGTTAGCAAAACTCAAGCTTCGTATAAAAAAGCACGGAACCAGAACATGAACCAAAAGAACGAAGTTCCATGTAAGTCTCTTAGATGGACACAGGAAAGGGAAAAGACATTTTTGGAAAGGAAACTCAGTAAAGACGATGGGTAGAGCATTTCAACAGTCTCCTGAACAGACCACCACCAAATAACCCGCCAAACATCCTGCTAGCAAGAAATGAATTATCAATCAGCTGTGATGTTCCATCAAAACAAGAGATTACTGATGCCATTAAGAAGCTGAACAACGATAAAGCGGCTGGTCCTGATCAGATTCCACCTGAGGCCCTAAAAACAAAAGCCAATGTGACGGCAGACCTCCTTCTCCCATTGTTTACCAGGACTTGGAATAAGAGAAAGTTCCCAAAGGATTGGAAAAAAGGACACCTTGTGAAACTTCCAAATAAGGGAGATCTCAGCAACTGCAGCAACTACCGAGGAATCACTTTTCTCTCACTACAAGGTAAGGTCTTCAACAAAATCATTCTGGAGAGAATCAAGTCTGCAAAGGATCCAAAACTTTGGGATGAACAGGCTGGTTTTCGGAAAAATCGGTCAACCACAGACAAGATTGTTACACTGAGGATCATAGTGGAACAGCCCCTGGAGTGGAACTCCCAATTGATCAACCTTTTTGACTATGAGAAGGACTTTGACGGTATAGACCGAGCAACACCGTGAAAGATACTGAGACATCACGGAATCCCACAGAAGTTGGTTAACCTCACCAGGAGCAAGTACGAAGGGACAAGTTGCAGGGTTATACATGATGGCCAGCTAACTGACAGCTTTGACATCAAGACCGGTGTGAGACAGGGATGTTTACTATCATCTTTCCTCTTTATCTTGGCAATCGACTGGCTGATGAAGGAAACTACCAAAGGACACAGAAACGGCATACAGTGGACCCCATGGACATAGTTGAACTATCTGGTTTTTTGCAGATGACTTGGCGCTTCTGTCACATACTCAGGAACAGATGCAAGCAAAGACCACAATTTTAAACAGCTTATCAGAGTCTGTTGGATTGAGGATCCACCCCGGAAAGTCAAAAGTTCTAAGGATAGAAGCACTACGAAAGGAGCAGGTCACAGTAGAGGGAAATGCACTAGAAGACGTCAAATCCTTCTGATATATCCAGTGGTGGTGGGTAGACCAAAATTTGAGTGGGGCTTAGGACACTTCCACTTCTTTACCACCAAATAGCAAGCAATTAGAACTAAACAGTGATGATTTTTCAATACTCGGCCACAGCATTTTGAGAGTCATTTAAAGGAGAAGCGACACCTTTGTCTTCCATCTCTTTGTTTTACATTTATTTCTTCTGAAAGGTGGGGATGAAGCCCTTTCACCTCCAAATTTCTCTAATTAATTTTCATCTGATGAAAAAGTGGCCCCAAAAGTGGTTAGATGTAATTAATAACTGTTAAATCTCAGTGGTACACACACAAACATGTACTCACAGCACTCCAAATGTATCGTCTATGAGCTGGATTAGGGCGTGTAGTCGAGGAAAGTAGAATGAGAACGCACTTAACAAAGGTTCAATGGGCACATAGGTAACTGTGTCCCTGGGGGGAAGTGTGTTGTAACCTTTCACCCCATTGTCAGGGCCTGGAGAGCTTGAGCCCTCTGTGCAGTGTTATTTTTCAAGTCTTCTACTTTTTTTTACAATAGGGGTTTCATTAAGGAGGGACGTGGAAATGGGCTCGCTCTTTGCTGAGCCCTAAAAACATTTGATTGGCTGTTAGCTTACTATAGTTGTAAGCGGTGACAACAGAGATTGGATAAAGGAGCAAGCCGCCACATTGATCACTCTATATATTCGTTGCATGCGATTATAACAGCTTCAACTGCTTATTTTGTTATTTTCATTTGCTTTGGTATAGTGTTGGGGGGTGGGGAGGGGGGCTCAAGCCCGTGAGCTCTTCACTACCCACCGCCACTGCTGCTATCTTGGGAGTATAATTGACAGAGAGGGAGGAAAGGCGCTGAAATAAAGTCCCGTATTGGAAAGGCACAGACTGCATTTATTTCTTTGAACAGGATTTGGAGAACCAGGGATATCTCACTACGAATAATGCTGAAGATTTTCAACTCAAATGTGAAGTCAGTCCTGTTGTATGGATGTGAGACAAGGAATGCATCTCAGACGAACTTAAAGAGGATCCAGGTTTTCTTGAACAAGTGTCTGAGGAACCTACCCAGGATCAGATGGACAGACAGGATCACCAACGAGGAAGTATTAAAAAGAATGAGACAGAGCCCAGTCAGAGATGAGGTGGGAAGAAGGCATTGGCGATGGATTGGACACACTTTCAGGAAGTCAAGCAGCTGCATAACATGGAAAGTGTTAGATTGGAACCCACAGGGTAAAAGATCAAGGGGAAGACCACGTGGAACCTGGAGAACAGTCACGGAAATAGATGGACAGAAAAGTTGGAAGACATGGAGTGACATCAAGCAACTCACTCAGGATAGGGAAAGGTGGAACGTGTTTGTTTGTGGCCTATATCCTGACCCAGGGTGAAAAAGGCAATGATGACGAATATACTGTCACAATTACTTCACTTGATTTTCTTCAATTTTTTTCTTTTTATTTCTTGTATTAACTGTTCACTCGAATTACAGATGTGTTGAACATATATGTCAATCCCCGACGTGTTCGAGATCTGTGCTCAACTGTAGCATGTTTTCACACAACGCTCTTATTAATAATCAGAAAACCAGGATATCTCACCCATACGTCTGTCACTTCCTCTTGTTTGCACATTGAGATAATTGAGACTTGGTTTGGCAGGGGCAGATCTATTAATCACAATGCAAGAAAAAAAAAAAGCAGGTTAAGTAAAACTGTACAATATGGGGAATTAAAATAATGTTGTTGTTGTTGTTAGCGATCCAGATTAAAATAATGTAAGTTACATTTTTGTTCATTATTTTTTAATTCATATGGAATCAAAATGAAGAGAAGGCCTTAAATATTACCATTTGTTCTAATAATTCTGCTTAGTAACGTGTACATGATAGTACAGTAAGTCTACATGTAGGCTTACATTATATATCTGAAATTAGTTTAAAAGGTGTTACTGTTACAAATACAGAAGGCTGTTGTTTGTAATAACCCATCATGTTTATCCACCCTGTCATAAGCAACTAAGAATTAGAGTAAAATAGTTTGAGATAAACTCAAACATATTCAACTTTTCATTTACATACCCTGTCTGTTGGTTTTGCGGTGGGAACAAATTTTCAGGCATAAGCATTGGGCATCTATCAGGATGGATAAGGTCTCTTCGGGAATGTATGTTTGATGTACTAAGTGAGCGACGGCAACTGAAAAGTAAAATAAAAAGAAATAGTTCAGTAAGAGTCTATGATTGAATGTTACTGTTACACATGCACATGTTAGCATTGTTTGTGCATACAATATAAGGCATAATAAGTATAAATGGCATGCACTGAAGTAGAGAAGTTTTTAGTTTAGTATGGGGTTTTACGGTGCTCGCAACAGCATAAGATCATAAGAGCGCTCGAAACAAGTTGCTTTTTTCCCCAACAGTTTATTTCTTGATCTGGTACTGGTCAATATTGCTATAAAACACATTTTAAAACGCTAAAAATCGAGTGTAAATAGATTTTAGATTTAAATTTAAATTCAAAGAACTTTCTATGACATTTAAAAATGCATGACTTTCCATAAAGGCCAATGGCCTTCATAAAATCAAAAATTCTGTTGGGACCAACGACGGAAAAAATGTCTTGCCATTTTTTGCATTTAAAGTATTTCCTTCGGATCTCTCCAAAGTGTAGACATTCGATTAAAACGTGTCTAATGGAGAAATCTGTGTCGCATCCGACACAGAACGGCTTCTCATCTCCCTGAAGGAGGTTACATTAGTGCGTTAGGGCCGGGTGTCCGATGCGTAATCGAGCAAAAATGACTACTTCTCTTCTGGAGAGGTCCGATGGATTCCACGGTCCCAATTTGGGTTTAATATTATAGAGTTTGTTACTCGTCTGTTTCTTTCCAGTGGCTCTCCCACAGACTGGAGGTGTACTTTTTTACTTTATTTTTAAAGTCAGTCTGTGGGAGAGTGGTCGTCGTTGATTCCAACAGAAGGGATAAGGATTTCTTCGCCAGGTCATCTATCTGCTCGTTTCCTCGGATGCCCACATGGCTAGGTATCCATGCGAACATGATATCTTTCCCTGTTTCAGATAAGGTGTGAATTTTCTGTTGAAGCCTAACTATTTTTGGGTGTAGGAGCGTGTAGTTTGTGAGTGAGGTGATGCAAGACAGAGAGTCAGAAAGGATAAGGAAAGAGAGGGAAATTCTGGTTGAAAATTAAGAGGAAAAAAGACAATCCAAACCAAGTCAGTAGAAAGACAGAGGATCCTAATAAGAATTAAAAAAAACAACAACTAACTACTCATGCAAACGAAGGGTCAAACCATTTTATGAGCAAAGAGATTTAAAAAAGAACAGGTTTACTACTTCAACTAATACTGCAAGACACTCTATTCAAACTATGAGGTATAGAAGCCTCTTCGTGCAAAAAGTTGTACTGTTGTAAGAATTTAAAGTAGCACAATTAAGAAAAGAATAATTGTTTGTGTTACAAAAATGTGCAAGTATCGACGTTCTAAAAGCATACACCATGGAGGAGGTGGCTCTATCAACTGAACGTAGTAAAAAGGACGAATGCTTTTCTTAAATTATTAGGTGCCAAGTCGCTATCAGTCATATACGAGCGTATCTTTGGCAAACTCTAATCAAGTCGTGGAGCTACCCTCTCAAATTAGAGCTTTCAATCAAATGATGCAACACTCACACTCGTGAGTTTGCACTATCCTCACATGTTTGAGCAATTATATTCTACAGCAAAGGAATTTTCCATTCCCCAACTCAACTATATAATTATATGGGATATAATATGATCTCTTTTAAGGACAAGCGGGCTAACCCAGATTTCGGGGATTTCCAGAAATCTTGACTTACACTTAAGGTGGGCATTGCCCTACCTATAGGACAAGTTTGGTTTCATTGGTGTGTATATTTTGTTTGGATATAGAGAAAACTCCCCTTTTAAAGAAAGTGATAAAGGGAAAAAAACAACTTTACCTTCGATTTTCTCAAAACAGT